CTGTCAGAGAGCTCTGTAATAAACTGCAGCATATACACACCTAGCTGTGTTGCAGCAAATGCACTGCTGACAGAGGCATGCCAATCCGGCCTTAAAAAGAAGTGCTTGGCCACGGAGCTATCAGAGCCTTGCAGTTCTGACCCAGTGGAGAACTTACTACATTTCATCTGCACTTCAGCCCGCTTCCTCCTCTTTGCTTCACTTTACAGAAGAAGACATATTCCTGAATGGCCCTCCTTCCAGAGACCTTTTCCAAAAGTCTACATGTTAACTGCCTCTCACAACAAACAGCAAGCAATTCGAAGGGCAGCAATGCAGGGCAGCAGCTAAAGAGGCAAAAATGCAATGCTTGTCTTCCCAGAGATGAAACTGGGTGAAGAAGGGAGATGGAAACAATTCAAGCTTGTGCAAATCAAGGTAAGTGTTATACCTATTGGAGGTCTGGGATGTGTTAAATAGGTTAACTGAGTAGGAAACAAAACCAACACTGTGGTGCTCTGCAACCTCTACAAATTTTGCAGATGTTGGCAGATTTTACCCCTGTTACTTTTTGAAGTTCAGCCCACAAAGACCCATTATAACTGAGTGTGGGGAACAGAGGCACATCAGCCCAGCTGCAAGGGATTGTGCCCCAGTACTCTTAATGGGAAACTACGTAGACTTTGTTCTCTGTATGGACATTCAGATCTTGAAAAGCGGCATGAGATGTCACAGTCTCACTGGGACTTGGGTGCCAGAGTCATTCAGGCACATGGCATGGTATCACTGTCTGTTAACATCACCATTCCTACTATTCCTTTTGCATTACAATTTTCTCTTTTAATTTTCTCTTTTGCTGTTTTTGTTGGTTTTTTTTTTCCTAGTTGTTTCTTTTCCTTAAGTAAGAAAGCAAAAGGAAAAAAATAAAGTGATTATACTGTCAAATATTTTCAGAGAACAATGAATAGGAGCTGTGTTTTTTGTTTGAGTGGTTGGATTAAACAGAATAACAGAATCTCTCTACTTTAACAGTAATAGTTACGGCATGTGAGTATTAAGACAAAAGTACCAGGTGCCCAAGCAGTAGTTAGCTTAACATGAAATCTTTTCAGAAGATGAAAACAAGAGATCTCTAAAACGAATCATAATTAACAAGCTATATTTAATACTAAAAAGGGATCTAAAGAGCTTAGTCCTAATATTTAATGGCTGAGTTTTTTTTCTCTCATTAAATCTGGAGCTTGTTTTTTGTATGTTGCTCTGAATAAAGCTCTCTCTAACTGCACAATTTGGAAAATGATTTACAGAGGAAAATATTGCTGGTACTTTCGGGTCAAAGAATAATCTGTTTGTTTCATTGAATTCTTGGTAATGACAAATTGTCCGTGCCTTTGAGTAATGGAAGCTCCCATTTTTATTATCTAAAAGATTCATTACTCATATATTTAATGTACTGTTATAATTTTAAAATAATTTGCATAAAATGTTTTTAAAATTGCTGGCTCAAGTGTCCTGTTAAATTGTGTTGCCTGTATTTTAATGCATTTAACAATGACTGTCTAACAAAAATACTCTTTATCAGGAGATGGGTGACACTGAAATGCTTTTTCACTGTTAGAAATGCGACCTTTCAAATGGTTTCCTCCAATGGCATACAGTCGGTCATTCATTACAGCCAAAGCGTGGATGGCTCGTTTTGTGTTCATGTCCTGTTTTCGGGCCCAGACGTCCATCACAGGGTCATAGCAGTACAGCCAGGGGACATATTCTCCATTGTGAACACCTCCTGCAAAATAAATGCACCTCTGTTGATTATTGTAAATAAAGATGCTGTTCTCCAGCAGGAATTTAGCCCTGGGTTTTGTTTTTTTTAATATCTTCTTATGTATATATGTATATGTATATATATATATATGTATATATATATATATATATATAGGTGTAGATGTAGATGTATCTATCTCAACTTATACATATATATATATATATATAAATATTAGATGTAGATGTAGATGTAGATGTATGTATCTCAACTTATATATGTATATATATATATATAAAAATATTTCTATAGTGGGAACTGTAAAAGATACTGGCCTGAAATGTATATCTTGCCATTGTGAACGGCTCCTGCATGGGCTGCCAAAGGTTGTGGTAAGGAAGACACGTAACGCCACTCATTTGTCTCCAGGTTGTAGCACTCCACACTGGACAAATAGCCAGTTTCATTTCTTCCACCAATTACATATAAGTTCTTGTCCAGGCGGCAGGCATAGAAGCTGGCTCTCCTGGAGGACAGGGCAAAAGAAAACAACATGAGCCAACAACCAATGAGCCACTCCCTCTTTAAAATCCAGCTGACGCCCTCAACAAAGATAGCTGCTATTCCAAATGATACTTTCTGAAGTGCCCAGAAGCTTCTCATGCTTGCATTTATCCTAAAGACTTTGCTAATCAAACACACATTCTACGTCAAATGAATACCTTACACATTATTTTTGGTGTCAAAACAATTAAGCACACATAAGTCTGACAGAAAATTCCTTTTTTTTTAAAGCTGTTTGTTGCTTTTTCACACCCGTAAAAGATAAAAAGGTGCTCATTAATGTTCGGGGCAATACCTTGTAAGAGATATAACAACTCAGTAAGACACAGTGAAAAATGAGGTAGATAATGTAACAATAATAAATTATCTTGACATTCACTTTCTTTATGGTCCTTCAAGGGTCATTGTTCCCAATTTACTAAGAGAACCACATCATCAAAATTTTTCTTCAATTATAATTTTTTTCTTCTTTCTGCAGTATTGCAAATAGAACAACTTTCCTTAACCTGGGCACAGTGTTACATTTCTACCCTTTAAACTCAAAAAAGGTCTGGCTCCATCCAGCTAACTCTGAGAAAAGTTTTAGCCACCTGTTTGGTTTTGCATGCAACTCAGGTATGCAGGGAAATAATTATTTTTTTCTGGTTATGACTACTAGACATATATTAGCTTGTCTTTCTCGTGACTCTAAAGTTAATGGTGTCTGTTACTGAAGGAAAAATAGAGCAGAAGATCATTTTGTGAGACCCTACTTGGTGTAAGCAATGGTCAGGGAACGCTCCCCTGATTATTCAGTGGTAGGTAGTTTTGCCAGGGTAGAGGCCTCTAATTCTAAGTTACAATGATATGAGAAAAAATGGCAAAAAAAAAAGCACAGCACAAAAACTAGATTTGAATCATAGAAGCATTAAGGTTGGAAACAATCCTTAAAATCACCAAATCCAACCATAACCTAATATTACCAAGTCCACCTCTAAACCACGTCACTTAGCACTCCACCTACCTATTTCTTAAACACCTCCAGGGATGGAGACTCCATCACTTCCCTGGTCATCCTATTCCAATGCCCAACCACCCTTTCCATGAAGAAATTCTTCCTGATACACAATGTAATGACCATGAAACTTGTATTGCAACTTGAGGATGTTTCCTTCCTATCACTTGTCACCTGAGAAAAGAGATGGACATCCTCCCTGCTGCAGCCTCGTTTCAGATAGCTGTGGGAATAATGAGGTCTCACTTCAGCCTCCTCTTCTCCAGACTAAACAAATCCAACTCCCCCAGCCCCTCCTCGTAATTCTTGTTTTCTTGTCCTCTCAGCAGCTTTGTTCTTCTCTGCACACGCTCAAGCAACTCTGCATCCTTCTCATAGTGAGGAGCCCCAAACTGAACACAGAATTTGAGCAAATGTTGGTTCCAAACCAGAACCTGGACTAAACAAGTCAGAGTCATAGAATGGCTTGGGTTGGAAGGCACCTTAAAGCACAGCCAGTTCCAGCTTTGCCATAGACGGACACATCCCACCAGCCTAGGCCACCCTGGACCCCATTCAACCTGACCTTGAGCACCTCCAGAGATGGAGAACCCACAGCTTCTCTAGGCAGCTTGTGTCAGTGCCTCACCACCCTTTCACTTTGTGTGAGCCCAGAGCCTTGCAGTCAGGCCAGGCTGGGTCACAAGCCTACCTCTGTAGCTAACATGGTGCTCTCTGGCTTCTGAGTACTTCCTCAAGAATATGCCTAGAGAAAGGAAGGATGCAAACAGGAGGAAGTGAATGTCGCTAAGTGCCTCCAACTACACTGACGAATTAAATAAGACCATTTAATTTATCTGTCAATGGGTAGATAGAAGCTGATGGCATGTATTGCTCTGCATGGTCGGGCAGCAAATTGTGCATCTATGTTTTTAGCCCGATTTTCTATGGAAACAAAGCTTATTTGATTACACTGTACGTGTATCCATGTCTGTCTGAATGTTGTCTCCTCACCAAAAACCTGCTGGCTGATTTCACTCTAATTTGACAGCGGGTAAAAGCGTTAGAGGAAACCAAGTGCCTATATGCTTCCTGAGAGCATATGACAGGCAAGACAGCCCGCATTCCCCCCCAGGGAGCAGGAAAAGCTACAGAGGTCACATCCAGTTAGACATCCTACACAGGCATGTGCTGTGAAATGTGCTGAGAAATGCTCAGCTAGAGCTCACATCTCCTCTGGCCCTGCTGTTGTTGGCAAAAACCTGCAGCGCTACCAGCATCCATACTTGGAGTGCTCTTGTGCCCATCAATCTGTCCTTAGCCATCTCCTTTGACAAACCATGAACAATCTGCTCTTGCAGTTCTTGACATATTTTAGTCAGATTTTCAGTAACAAACCTAATAAAAAGTGCAACAGAATGAATTTTCAAAACCAAACTCTACTGCAATTAGTGGGTATATAGTATTATATAGGAATAGCGGATTCTCTCTCTTTTTTATTATTATTATTTTTTCAGTTCAAATTCAACAAAGGGGTAGGTATTACTGGTAGGCACTACTGTTACAACTGAGATTTTGTGAACATCCCTCTGTAGGTGTACTCCTGGTTTCATCCACACAGTGTCACTATAAGGAGCAAAAATGAGAGCATCAGCATGCTTCACTCTTCTGCTTGGAGGTGAATATTTATTTACCCAGTAGCTCCTGCCACTGATATGTTAAGGTTTTTAACTTCTCAGTAATAGAGCACACGAGGGATGTGCTGTTATGGGAAGGCTATTTAAATTGCTGTAAATTCAGATTAAAACATAATGCAGCAGTCTTCAAAAGACAACTTTTCCTACAAAACTGGGAAGAGACTACCCACTCTAATTAAGTAGCTGGAATGCACCTTAGAATGTGAATATGGACAATAAGACAATTATTTGGGGATTTTCTTCAGAGCTTGCAAGTGTCTGACATTTTCTGGTCTCTGAAATGCTTTTCCTTCCAACCCTCTCCCTCAATAAGCAACCTAAGTAACTTTTCTCATAATGCACAAAAAGGGAAACATTTCTAACACTTCCTTCTAGTTTCTACCAAAAATGAATCCATGCTCTGGAACACAAAATAACGGTCTGAGGTATAAAACTGTGAGTGATCAACAGAACAGGACAGAACATTCACAACAGAATCTGGATCTTACTACATGGTTGCTGTTAGAGTGTTTGGTTTGCTTTTAAAAAGCAAAAGCCATTTTAACAAAGGTTAATGCTATTATTGAAGTCAGAGGCTAAAATAAAACATAAAATTATTTTCTGTCTTTTTCTTGTTTGTTTGGTTGGTTTTTTTTGCAGTTTCTTTTATCACTCCACTCAGCTTAATTAGAGAAGGCAGCCTGGATCAGATCCACTTGTGCTTGCTTCTCCGTGCCCTGGCAGAATACAGTCTTTTTAAATAAAAACTTTAATTGGAATGTAAGAAGAACAGAAAGTTATAAATTTTCTCCACCCCTGCCCTGTCCTGCTCTAGGCTGATTTGGTAGGCTGGAACAGCACTGGATAGAGGTGCTCAGTTGCAACTCACTCTACAAGTTCAGAGATTGGTTCTCCATTAAACTTGTTAGTGTAACCAGACTGCTCTCCAAACTGTATCCCACTCTCATTGCATGCTTGGGCCAATCAGTATTTCAATAACTGATGACTCATTTGCTGCTTTTCTCAGCAACACACACCTGAAAACACTGCACACTTTTCAAAAGCAACTATTTTTGAGATATGCTGCAAATGAAAAGAAGCCAAACGTGGCGTTAAAGCAAAACACGCTGACGGCTCTGAATCCATACAGGGATTAGATTTTTCTTTATAGCTCAAACAGTAAAATCAATCAGATATGGATTTTAGTATATGAAATAAAAGTTTACTCATCAAATATTTCATACAGATTTTCAACTTGAGAATGTACTGCCTGTGAATGAGACCCACATTTACCTGGCAGTCATTTCAAAGGAGTCTATCCAGCCAATTATTCTCAGACTAAAATTCCTAAGTGGGTTTTGACTTGATGGACCATAATGACTCAGAAGAACCCATTAAACAGTCTGTCTTGTCAAGGTGCCTGCATTATAACAGCAGATACAGGGCGTGACCCTGTACTCCTAGAGGGAGAAAAGTAGCCTATTGACTTTAATGAGAACTTTATCTGACTAAGGAGCTGGGAAAGAGACTGCATAAAAGATCCCTGTAGTTTGTATGACCTAAAAACTGTCAGGGCCAGGCCCTACCTCTAAAGGCTGTAACAACTCCGAGAAAGTCATTAATGATAAGCAAATTAACTTTTAAAAGCATTTCAGAAACTTGAAAATCACTGTTTTCCAACAACAGCCCCTATGCCAAGGAGTCTTTATAGAAAAATAACGGACAAATCTACATCCTATGTATCCTGAATAGAAGAGATGACAAAGTACAGTCCGCAGCTGAAGGAACTATGTATGAGTAGGTCGTTACCTTTAATTAAAACTGTAATGTGCCAAACCCCATCCCAGGAAGCGTTCAGGGACAGGCTGGATGGGGCTCTGGGCAGCCTGATGCAGTGAGAAGTGTTCCTGACTCCGGCAGAGGGGCTGGAACTGGATGGTCTTCAAGGTCCCTCCCAACCTAAACCCTTATAGATCGTATGTCTCTTAAGACACTAACATGTTGCAGTTTACTGCTGGGCAGCTGCTAAGCAACCATCAAGCTCAGCAGACTTTCTAAATCTTGGATAAAGGTGGCAGCACCCTGCAGGATATGACACAAGTTGTATTCAGCACCTGGAATTACCAACCACATTTACCAGTACCACACAACTGCCCACTGCGGAGGTGAAAGAACTCCTTTCTTTGCTCTCCAACCTTCAATCACCTACCTGCTTTCTGACCTTTGTCAAACAAACCCAACCCTTCAGCCAGCCACATGAGCTCCTTGGGACTTTGTTTGCAGATACTCAGAGAGCCAGTCACCTGAACACTGTGGACAACTGAAAAATGGTAATACTGATGGCATAGGAAATACGGAGAGCGTCCCAGGAGAGTGATGTGGGATATCTTGTACAGTGGTTCTATGAAAAGACGGGTGCTCATCTGAAAGATGGATGGTCTTTGGAATAGTTTTTCATAAAAACATGATTACTTGTGATCTTCTGCCTTTGATATTCTTCCTATGAAACACACATAATTCAGATCAGGTTTAGGGGACTTTTTTCCTGTTAGGTTAGGATTTGGGATCCAGAGTTAAGTCTATGCCATCTTTACACGCCCTTGCTCAAGTCCACACGCAGCTCTGCTCTTCGGTACACAGCAGGATTAAAATGTATGCTACTCTAATATGCATTGGCTGACAGCAACTTCATTCAAAGACCACCCAGGATTCTGAGTCTTCTGACAAGATAAGTCATGTTGAGGAGAGATCTCCATGGCTGGTGTGGTGAGACGGGATGTGGTCAACATATGAAGGTTTCAGCTCTCTGTACGATATCTGTCTATAATTACTGCTTGTTTACTGCAAACTCATCATAACACTTCAGTCAGGTAACATGACAGGATACTACAGAGACTTCAGCAAAACCCTTCAGACTGCACTCGGACAACCAGTAATTGCACAAAGTTCATGGTTATTTTGCACGAGTTAGCACTGCAGGGTTTGGCATGTGGAGTTTTGAATCTGGAATGTTTAAAAAAATTAGGAGACAAATGGGAAGCAACTGCACGCTGCAGTTTTATCTCAGAATTTGTAAAGTAGGCATCCTTATATCCCCACACTAAGACAAACTTCTGCTGTTCTTAGGATGATAAAACATACATTGAAAAACATGTAGGTTTTTACCTCTCTTGCATGGGTGGAAGTTGTATCCAGCTGTTAAACCTGGGATCGTATCGGCTAACAAAGTTTGTGCTGTGCTTCCCTGTGAAGATAGATTATTTTGACACTCAGCTGTTTGTTTCATGTATTTAACATCATGATTGTATTATAAATTACGTATATTTCACAAGTTGCCAGCTTTTATGAAGGGTTACCCCGTTTACAACAATGTATGATTACACGATGTGTACAGTAATAATTCAACAAATGGGGCACTACAAGGTTTGAATTAGCAATTGTTAGCAGTAAAAGTGGATAGAGATTATTCTTGCTCTCTGTAATAAGATCTTGAAAACATGTATTTAAATTTACTTATAGATGCTGTGGTACTTTCACAGCCACAGTAAATCACAGCACTATACAAAATTACTGCCCAAAAGAGAATATCCCTATAGCATTTTATGGTTAGAGTGTTTTGTGTCAGGTAAAATATCATAGGGAGAACACGTGCGTTTCTTTCTCTTCACCTTTATGTGGAACACAGTAAAAAACAGTGAGCAAATAACTAGAAGGCTCATAAGCCATCAGCATGGGGTATGCAGTATTTGCACTAGATGGCTTATTCTACCATGTACTTTCAGTGTTAAGTTAGGAGTTACACATGTGCATCGAAGGGGGAATATACTCTTAGAATCTCATCCAGATGTGTTAGCAAAAATGTGAAACATGAGCAACATACGCTGGCTAACTAGCTTATCCTTGCTGTCAAACCCAAGAACTGTATGCATGTCTTCACGATACTAAGATTTCATTTTATTTTACATGCAGATTGACATCACAGCGAGAAAACTGAAGCAAGAGAGTGTACGGCAATTTCTTGTAACACCTGAGACTTCAACAGATGAGGACCTTTGAAAAAGAAACCTTTGTTTATGTAAGTGTGACTAAAAAATTGAATTAGAGGCTTCAAAGGACAGCAGAATAACCCAACTGCGTATGTCACAGTTCTATAAATGGTCACTGGGTATTCTACAAGGTGAATATTTTTGCATTGGAAAAGCCTCTGTAGGACTGGTTCACTTTACTTGCTGCATTCTACTCTTAGTTCAGCATATGCAAATAGATCATCAGGAGACTGATGAGAAGAAAAATTATACAGCTAGAATCTGGTTTCATAATCATTTAAGATCACGTTCTACAAGATTACAGATAAAGAAAGCATTGAGTACTCTATCTGGAAGCAAACTCATTCTCTCGCCATGTATCATGTTCCAAATCCAGCATGGTGCCTACTGAGGACCAAACTTGCTGCATGCTGAGCACTGCTCAAATGCATCTCAGAGTATAGGGTGAGAGCCCCATAAGCTAAAGAAAAATGGGATTCTTCCACCGGGTTTAGAAAAGGCAGACTTTGCTCTTGGTCCCTATCTGAATTCCTTTAGTCTACAATGACAATTTAGAAGAATAGATATTGAGAGTTACAAATTCAATGAAGAGTAACATAGCAGGATCTGACCAGCTCGGTCTCACTGTTTAGGACATGCATTCATCTACTTCTACTATGAAAGCGGGATTACAATACAAGGTAAGTATTGATCACAAGTTTCAAGTCCTGTGAGGAGGTTTCTGCTCTTACCGCGTCTTTCAGAGTTGCTTGGGACTTCAGAAGTCATTGGCCATATGGCAGCTTTTTCACTCATGTCTTACAAAGCTCTGATCTGGAGACCTTGGCCTCTTAACATACTGTGTCATGCACATATTCGGTATAAATCCCACATATGTAGAAGATTGTGCAGCACGAAGTAGAATGAGATTTTATTGGGAATAGAGTGGGATGCAGGATACAGATCTGGTCACTTCATAGGAAAGAAGATGAAATCAAACTGGAAGGGGCACAAAGAAGATCCACAAGAATGACAAGAAGAACAAGATGTTTATCTTATGGCAGGAGATAAACTCCAGCAGAACTTGGCTTGTTGCACCCAGCAAAACAAAAGCTGAAAGGGAAGAGGAACGCTGCCTGTAATACATCAGAGGAACAAATCTCCAGGAGGGGAAAAGCTATTAAGCTAAAGGCCAACTCTGGCACGAGAACAAGGTGATTTAGACAGTCAAAGAATACATTTTACTGGAAATTAGAATAAGGCTCCTAGTCATTGAGAGCAATTGGATTCTGTAACAGCTTTCCAACAGGAGTAGAGAAAGCTAAAAATCCAACTGCTTTTCAAATGGAGCTTAGAAAATTTACAAAATGGGACTATATGATGCCTGTGATGGCAGGAAAAGGATTTGATAACCTCCTTAAGCTGCCTGGTATAAATGGTTTCATTCCAATTTAATTTTGGAATTCAGTTTCAAAGACAACTGTATCTATTATTTTTGTCTTGCTCATCAGTCAATAGGGTTGCACATGCCATGAAGCACTTGTCAGAATGCAGAAACTGTGAGAAGTAAACAGAAATCAGGACTAGTAAATTGAGATAATGAGAGAAAAGGAGGCAGATGCTGCTGTGCTCTGTACAGCAAGTTTTCTGCACCCATGCCAAAAGGTGAAGGGCTCTGAAGGTTACAAATGTTTGTCCTAAATCCATGCCATTGCTCTGCAACCTGCTCTCATCAACGTTTACTCAAGCAAAGATCCCTTGTGACCGGAAAGGTGATGCCATAGGAGGATGTAAAAAATGAGAAGAAATATCACCACGCTCCCTAGGTTGTCAGGAAGTCAGAGGAGCAGCACAGAATGTGCATGGTCACTCCTTGGGGTACATCTTGCTTCCCAAGAATTGGCACAGTGCCTAAAGAAATGCATAATGCTCCTTCCATTGCCACTATCCACTGAAACAACACTTGGCACCTTTCCATTTGTATTGGAATCCTTGAAATGCACTGGCAGGAAAGCTCAAGTTAGGTTCATTTGAAGACCCTTCTGTTCTATGAGGATAGCAGTGAAAGGTCTTTATGCAAAAGTGAGTATGTGTGAGCAGTTCTCGTGTAGCTGCATACTTTGAGCAAATCGGTTTCAAAAAAGAACTAGTCCAAAAATATCTCTGAATGTAAATTATGATTTTTAGGTCTACTTTTTGAGACAAATAGGATCCATTTCGCTTGGGGTACGTTTGTAAAGAGATCAGCATCAATAATGTTCCCACTTCCTTCACTGTAACTTCACTACAGACAAATCACAGCTCTGATTCTCACTGATCAAGGAAGCTGTTGGATGTCTGCTGCACGTGCCTTCAGCTCAGGAAATGATCTAGGCAGCCTTAGAATTTGAGTGCTATCTATGTCACAAACCACGTGTTCAAGTCCTGTCTCAGTCACAGGACGTTCACTTCTTCTAACAACTCTCTATTAGCTTGTGACTCAGTTTCCACATCTTTAAATTCTGTACAATTATTCATCTTTTCTTTCGTCCTTCATATGACATGGCTATTTAATTAAAAACTGACTGGTACAAGGTCTGCCTTATGTTATCTGCTTACCACCAAGCACAACAGGGGCCCTCAGTTGTTGGCTGTGGCTGATACTCCTAATAATAATTACCATTAATTATGCCCCTGTACTTCCTGCATAATATAGCATAACACAAAGGAGATTCAAACTGCAGAACTGAAGGGCTCTTCTCCCAAAAGACTTAGTGATATTTTAACTACACCGGAAATATGTTTCTAGGGTGGACTGGATTGTTTGTCTCAGGTTTTAGGAAGTGAACAGATGTAACAATTTTCTATAATTTGGTTTAGTGCAGATGCTGAAATGGGGCATTCACAATAAAATATATGCAGTATATGTAATTTCAGCTGGATCCTCTGGTGTTTTAAAGTAAAAATGTGTACCTGCAAGCTGTTTTATGGTTTCTCAGTCATAATTATCTCTGTTACACAGGCTGCTACAACTACAACTCTTTCTTCATGTGCAAGCTTTTTAACAATGTCTTGACTACTTTGTGAATTTTGCAAGGCATGGTACTCTCCTTTTGCTTTGCTCAGAAGCCTGTTAAATTGTTTAATTTCTCTTTGCAGTAAATTTATGAAGTAATCAAATCAAATAAGGTAGCAGCAGATAATCTATATGAGAAGCTCTTGCACAAGACTAAAAAAGAGCCCAGTTTAAGAATCTCAGTCTAGATAATTAACACATTAACAACTTTAGCTGCGAGTATCTGGTTTGACAATAGAAAGGAAGCATTCATCTACTGCAATTGCATTATTATATTATGACTGGAAGGAGACTGGAAATGAAGGTTAAAATTCTTAACAGCTGCTGCCTGGTGCATGCACTTGAAAGAGTCTGTTCTGCTGCCTGTGGCATTTCTCGAGGGACGTGGGAGCTGATGAATGACAGAGATGCTAATGCTGAAGAACCAGATATTTATTACATCAGTATCTGAAAGTAGCCTTTGGTAGCTCAATAATTTGGCTACAGGTCCTCAAAATAACTTAGTAATGACCACATCAGCTGACCTGACAGACAGACAGACACAGGAAGGCAGATGCTGCCCGTGTCTTTTAATACAGTGTACATACCATTTGGGTTCCATTGGTCTTCTCCTCCGAGTACAAACAAGAAGTTTTCCACTTCCACGACGCAATGATGCGCACTGTTATATGGCATAACTGCAAGCAAAAAGAGAGTTCTTTATCAGCTCGGGGCATGGGTTCCATAAAAACTTCCAAAGGTACAAAATACAACACCATGATGGAATTTGTATATAATTTATGTAACTTGTATAATAGCAGAAGGCATCCACCCCAAGCATGTATGTCTGATGAATTAATAGCAGAAGCAGATGCTTATTAGTAACTTCACATTATTTGATCTTGTAGATAATTGAATAAAGCAGGAATGCTGGCCCTTTGGTTCCTCACCCCCACCCTCTTCCCCCACATATATATGCTGCTCTAAAATGAATCTTGAAATGAGTGAAGTTGTCTGATATTTTCCTGGAATAAGCAGATGTTAGGGATCCTGGTATGCTAGGAAACATTATAAAAACCTCAGCCCAGCTTTGTTCTGTT